AACACGTTGACAACCAAAGGCTTTTGTTTTTCGAGTCTGGTCCAGTAGGAGATGGGCGTTAAGCGTTCTAGACCCATGAAGTCGAACGGATTACCCGTCAATTCGTGGTAAAAACTATGACTACCACCATCGCGCAATAATTATTAACATCGTCGCCTTTGGTTTCGGGATTAACGGGGGCCTTTTTGAAATGCTTGGACACCGGTATGTGCAATCCACCTCTGAGCGGTATGTAGTTCGCTATGTCGAGATAAACGGTGTTAATTTTGTCTTCCACCCATCCAGAGCCCATGTGGGTATATTTCTCCAACGATTCTTGAATTTTTCGAACATGTTGATTCAATCGATTCTGGTTGAGTTAGGACTTCCTGTTTGCCTCGTGAAATCGTGAAATAGGGCACAATGGACTCAGTACTACCCTCCGTCTGAGGTTTTTGGAGCGTCATTTTCATCATCAGTTGCTTTTAAAATCGTTTAATTCCTCACAAAGTTTACTGTCGATTAAGGGTTTGATTTTATCGGTATCGATATTAGAATCGACCAACATTTTCCAACCTCGGAGATACTTACCCACAGCATAGTCTGTTGGCACAAATCGCAGTTCGACCGGCTCAGTGTCTTCCAGGAGTTTGATCAGCTCGGCTTTCCTCATGAGAGAATAACCAGTCAATCCATGTTCTTTAGCTCGAGCTTTGAGCTCTCGTACAGTTTGGGGGTTGTCATAGTTCATACCGAGCGAGGCCAGCAATTTGGCTTTCCTCATATGAGAATAACCAATCACACCACGCTTCTTAGCCAAAGCTTTCAGTTCTCCGACAGTAGCCATGTTGTATGCCATATGAAAGCTGTTTCTCTAGTTTGCTGTATTCCAAATGAAAGTCAAATGTCTAATAGGGTGTTCAGTGATGATGGGAGGTAACTCCGCCAGCCTTCTCTAAAATGAAGCGCCCGTAAAATCTTCGAAATGTTAATCTTCCTGAGTCTCCTAAATTCACTTATAAAATGTTAACGCCTCTTAGTGATCGCTTTCATTCTGACGATGTCAGCCCCATGGGCTTTGCATAAAGAATACTGACATTTGACCCCTACACCACATACTTGACACGCATAATTGGGATGACCCCCTTCTCACACTTTGAGCATGTTTGTGGCAATATTCAGTCGTACAGCGTTTTCCACATTCCACGGGTTTGCCCAGCAGTACCCACTTGCAATGGTAAGTTCCCAAGGTCCGATACTTGTATATACACTTAAGGTACACAAATGTCTAAATGTAGTCCAAATGAAATGCACATTCCATTCTCAGCCACACACGGAGCTAGAAACAAATCGTTCCACCAGGGATACAGAATAGAATACCTCCAGCATACCCCGCAATATACATTCTGCCACGATTTCCAAACTGTATTTTTGTTGCTGTGTATTTTTTTTCTAGTCCATGTAAAACATTCAAGCCTTCCTGACCAAGAACAAGGATCTCGTAAAAGATTCACCTTAAACTGCTTTGTAAATGTCAACATAACATAGCTAAAAAAAAGTTCCGTCTGGGATTCGAATGCTAAAACTCAAAACCGCCACGTTCCCTTCAGACCAGCAGTTTCACTCTGTCAAGTGGCAGTGCATTCAAGCTATGTCGGCATTTAGACGATATTCATGATCTCTACTTGAAAACGGACATGCTGCTGCTGGCCGACGTGTTCGAGACGTTCAGAAAAACGTGTTTGAAACAGTATCAACTCGACCCAGCGTGGTACTACACCAGTCTCCGTCTCTCGTGGGATGCGGTGCTGAAGAAAACGGGCGTCAAACAGGAATTGTTCACCAATTACGACATGCACCTGTTCGTCGAGAAAGGCATGCACGGTGGGATTTCCATGGTCTCCAAACGGTACGCGAAAGCCAACAACCAATACGTGAAAAACTACGATTCAAACAAGCCCGCCAATCATCTCCTCTATCTCGAAGCCAACAACCTGTATGGCTGGGCTATGAGTCAGTATTTGCCTACGGGCGGGTTCGAATGGGTTAATAGCGAGCATTTTAATCCGAAGAACATTATGGCCATCCCCGACAACTTCGAGATAGGCTACCTGTTCAAAGTGGATTTGGAGTACCCCGAAGCATTGCACGAATCGCACAACAGTTATCCGCTTGCTCCCGAACGATTGATGGTTGATCGAGACTGGATGTCCAACTATCAGCGAGACTTGTTGGGCGAGAATACACTGGCTCAGGTGGAAAAACTCGTCCCAAACTTGATGAACAAAACCAAATATGTCGTGCACTATTGCAACCTGCAGCTGTACCTTTCACTGGGTATGAAGCTGACCAAAATACACTGAGTGCTCAAATTTGATCAAAAACCCTGGATGGAACCGTACATTCGGTTGAACACCAAATTGAGAAAACGAGCCACGAGCGACTTCGACAAAAACCTCTATAAACTCATGAACAATTCGGTAATTGGCAAAACCATGGAAACCTTGAGGAAACACGTCAACGTAAAACTCGTGCGATCGCACCAGGAGGAAAACACCGAAAACTGATCGCCAGCCCCGCATTCAACCAATGCAAACTATTCGATAACGACTGGCAGCGCTCCACATGATCAAAAACCACATCAAGCTCAAACGGCCAGACTACATGGGGATGAGCATCCTGGACCTGTCCAAACATCTCATGTACGATTTCTACTACAACCAACTTAAACAACAGTAAGGCGATCGATGCGAGCTGCTGTACACGGACACCGTTTCCTTGTTGTTGAATATACACACCGAGGACGTGTACGAGGACATGGCGAAACACAGCCACTTGTACGATACCAGCGATTACCCCCAAGACCACGCCCTACACACCACGACCAATAAAAAGGTCCTCGGCAAGATGAAGGACGAATGCGCGGGCACACATATCGCCGAATACATCGGATTGAGACCCAAGGTGTATTCCATCCTGAAAGCCGACAATGGTGAGATCCGAAAGGCGAAAGGGGTAAAAAACCCGTGGTGAAACAACACATCAAACACGCCCTCTTCAAACAAGCTCTGTTCAAGAATAAAACGTTTCAAACACCGAATGAATGCGTTGAGAAGTGACAAACACAACATCTACGGCATCACTCTCAACAAGACCTCGCTGTCGCCCATGGATACCATACGGTGGATCGCCATCGACGGCATCACGACTTACGCATACGGACACACGTGCATAAACCACTGACTAGACCTCGACACGTTGGGAGTTTCTAAGACCCCCTATAAAGGAAACTCCACTCGGCATGTCGAGGTCTAGTCAGTAGTTGATTTGTAGTAGCTGAAAATATGGGTAGCCCTAGCGAAAATGGGTCTAGGCTGGCGAGCTCGGCTGTACATGGAATGATGTCTCTGCTCGAAAATCACTATTTTATACTAGGCGCTGGGAGCGGAATTACGTAGAAATAAGCCTATAAGGTACCCTGTAATAGAACCCCCATTATATAACTACTCAGGCATCCAAAACAGCCCGAGAACAGCCCACACAGTGAGGACACACGGAAGACCAATCAGTACTGATACAGTACGCCAACGTCTTAACAGCGGGAACATCAATTGCCGTATACCTTACCGTGGACCTATCCTCCCCCTCGTCATTGGCGTGAACGTCTACAGTTTGCCCTACAACACCAAAATTGGCGATACGGGCAATGGAGAACTGTTCTATTCACAGATGAGAGTCGGTGCTGTGTATCAACTGCAGATGGGAGAACAAGAATATGGCGACGATGTTGCCAGCGTTACTCAGACCAATGTGTTATGGAAAGAGACTCATGTGGAGGTGCAAGCATCATGGTATGGGGTGGAATATAGACCTGAACCAGAAAGTGGGTCCTGTGGTGTTCCAGAACCTAGGTCCACGGAGAGGAGGCGGCATCACAGCGGTGCGCTACATCGACCAAGCTCCCAGATTTCACACGTCACCGGAACAACAGTTTCAAGCATAATAATGCCCGGACCCATACTGCCAGAGCTACAGAGGACTTCCTACTGCAGAACGGTGTCAACATTATGCAGTGGCCAGCCCTTAGTCCTGATTTATACCCAATCGAACATCTTTGGGATGAAATTCAGAGGAGACTGAATAATGCCATACCAAGGCCGAACACAGCCGATTTATTGCGCCAGGCCTTTCTCAGAATGTGGTTCCAAGTGCCAATGGCCTTCATCAATCGATTGGTGCACTCTATGCATAGACGCTGTGCTGCAGTTATTGCCGCTCGTGGTGGTCACACTAGATACTGATGTCAAGAGTCTGAATGGACTGCAAACGTTCACGTAATGTCTTGAAATTCTGCTGAGTTATTCACTGATATGTCAAGATATTGTACACAAAACATGTGTTTGATCCGCTCATTATGTCCATTTTTGTAATGATTTGACTACAGTACCTATCTAATTTTGAATTCGTACTGACGTTTTCTTTTGCTGCTGAGTATAGTCAGACACATGCCTGATCAAGTTATTCATGTCTTATGACAAGTATTGACGGCTGAAGACCAACATCACGGATTAAATACGCTGAATGTGTATCTAACAAAACCGTTAACTAATCGAAAATAGTCTTTCTGCAACTGCAGACCTCATGGCAATGATGCTGAATATAACAAGTTCGTACTGTCTTCAGCAAGCCATGCTTGCCACAAAAGGCGACTATGCTTGTCGTAAGAGGCGACTAACGGGATCGGGTGGTCAGGCTCGCTGACTTGGTTGACGCATGCCATCGGTTCCCAATTGCGCAGATCGATGCTCATGCTGTTGATCACTGGATTGTCTGGTCCAGACTCTATTATATACAGACCGCCGCCATATAGCTGGAATATTGCTGAGTGTGGCGTAAAACTAAACTCACTCAGTCACTCACTCGTACTGTCCGTCGGACAGATTCCACTGTTTGATAAGGCAAAATAGGGAGACAATTATATGAATGGATCACTGAAGGCATTACTTCCGATGTCAACATACTTGAGACAGCGGTTGTTTATGATGTTGTGGCCAGCCATTGTGACAATACACCCAGTAGACACACCTAGAGAATACAGGCTATAACCAAGAGCCTCGATCCATACCTTTAAACAAGAAATGGGAAACCATTATTAATTCAGAGGCTATAAATAGTGATTGGTCTATCCGTATAACCGTTACAAAATATCTACGTCATCAGCTCTGAGGAGGAAAGCAGATTGTCCTTTCCAGAGAAACATTTATTCCTTTCACTTTTACCTCTGTATTTCACTTTTACATCAGATCCCCAGTAAGGTGGTCTGGCTTTGGTGACTGGTGGTCTATAGCTCGTATTTTATTGGTATTACATGTAATATTGATCTTTGTGTTGGATGAAGTCTTTTATCAATTGAAATGGTTAGGTTTTAGATTCAAATTGTGATAGCGTGCTTATGTTTTACTGTCCTTTGCGACAGATATTTCTCATAATTAAGCCAAATGTTTCTCGTCACTATATGGTCGAAACATTGCCGATGTGAAGTAAAATTTAACTCACTCACTCACTCACTTTTACATCAGTATATTTATAGGTGATACAGCTTCATTTGTTTGGTGTGCGGCGGGGGCAGCCTTGTGGGTAAAGCGTTCGTTCGTCACACCAGAGACCTGGGTTCGATTTCCCACATGGGTAATATGTGTGATGCCCCTTTCTGGTGCCCCCCGCCGTGATGTTGCTGGAATAATGCTGAAATATCGCTCACTCATTTGTTTTCTATATGAAACCTGAACACCAGAGAATAGTCCGTGTGGAGTAGAACCTAAAATAGTAGTGAGCATTATATGAAGTTGACTGCAAAAAAGTGATGACACAAGGCGTTAACGAAAATGTTGAGGATATAGTCTGCCCACTTACTCTTGATCCTTACAGCCTTTCAGATTTGGGGTTGATATGGTAACAAATCACATTTCACGAAAAGGGTAAAAGCTTTCAACTTACCCTTGGTTCTTTAGCCTTTCAAAATTGGGGTTGATGTAGAAATAAATCCCATCTGCGGATCCTGGTAGTAGACAGCCACGGATGAGGAAGATGAAGGTAAGGATGTAGGGAATAGCCACGGTGACATACACAAGCTTAAATTAAAGAAACAAATTTACCAAGTTTATATGTATGCTTATGTTAAAACCAACTCTTCATACTTGACATTACAACAAATATGTACACGCAATTACTTTTTAGTTAATACGTGGGGTTTTAAGCTGTTTCTGGAATTGTCAACACCATACTAGATTTTACTAAAGTGTTTAACGTTGAAACCATGCAGACATGAAGGTGGGAAGTCCGTGATATAACTGTAACACTGTTCTCCCCAGTTTAGAAATCAAGTCACTTAGCTATCGAGACAAATATCTTCCTTTGATTACGGTTAGTTTTCCAATCAAAGACATACTTCTAGGGTGCTTATAATAGCTTTACGCTAGAACCCGGCACTGTGAAATGAGACTCTCTGTATCTGTATGTACCTTCCCGGTAACTTTTATTTCTTGAGAAACCCACAGAAACAGAAGTCCCATTGTGATGGCCAGACACCCAGCCAGAGGCCACCTGATGCCACCCAGATGCTCCAGACCATCGGTCACTTGCAACACCTGGAATCTAATGAAACAACATATTTTAGTGGGTAACTTCATTTCAACTGACGCGAATCGGAACTAAAATATCTGCACCTTCTGACGATATGGGTTCAGGAGGTTTACAGAGAATGGTTTATTCATATTTGGTTTTACATTGTTTGGTGTGCATCAGGTGCTTGACTATAATATCCTGAGTATAAGTCAAAGAAAAGTTATACAACGCGTTTCTATTAACAGATACAAAACACAACACATCCACAGTACTTCAGCAATATAGGAGTTACTAGTTATAAACTTAGACACCTATAGGCTATAACATTGTCTACAAAGGTAAAACAACAAGTCACAAGTTTTGCATGAACTATATATTTAGCAAGTATCTATTAGGTAATATCCACGATAATAACGAACTAAAGACCATGCTTCCCATTTTCCCTTAGAAGGAACACTCAGCACAGTTGTATTAGGGATAGCAGTATTGTGTGGTCTCAAATGATAAGATGACTTCCACAGTGACTAAAGCAAACTAAATAACCGACAACATTATACCTCCAGAATTCTTCAGCACCGGACAGGTGATCGTGAATTCCACCAGAATCTGAAGAAACGTTCCCAACGTTATCATCACGAGTTGGGTAACTGGTGCTGTTATTCCCTGTGGTGTTTTCTAAATTATAGGATGTGCACGCAATGGTGTTCCAGTGGTTGTCACAGTTGTTCCAAGGAAAGTTGTCGGAGAAGGAATGGTAGAGGTAGAACATGAACCAGCAGAAAATGACGCTGAAGTAGGTGGAATACAACCACGAATATATGACGCCACCTAAACCAATACCTGCAGGAAGGAACATTTGATTTGTGTCTTGGTGCAATTCAAACTTTTGTCACCATAGGTTATCCTGTTCAATTTTTTTCGAATCATGTCGGAATAAACACGTAAATTCCTTTTGCCTGATGTTATTTTGTTTTCAGAATGTTATTTAGTTCCTCAACCACCTTTGGAAAACGTGTTAATTTATTCGTTGACGGTCATACTTAGAAAGGATTATCTATAGACTTTAGAATATGCTGTCCAGATATTTCCTAACCTTCTGCAGAATATGTAATCCTAAACTCTGCTTATGCAGGTTTAATAGATGACGACATTACTGAGTGAACGACTTATGGTCCCTAGTATGGTGATCAACCTTCAGTTGTTGGCAATCTATAGCCTGTTTTTACATTGTCTTGTTATTTCTAGTGAAAATGGTTTAGATTTAATTTCTATTTTTAAATGGATATCGGTGATACACTAGTAGTTTTACTGTTCTTCCTCGACAGGCTTTTATTTTCTAATTTTATTGATCTATTATATAATCATTGTATTGTTCTCGTCACGATATGGCTGAAATATTGCCGATTCGACGATAAATATTAACTCACTCACTCACTGAGTGAACGAAGGGCAGCGGACATAGATTTACCTTTGAAAGGCGGACACAGATGCCAAACGTTGATAGGTCCACTCTGTGAATACTGACCAATGACCATCTCCAGGTAGACACATGGCATGGTAACTATTATGGTGAACAGCAGGAAGGGTATCAGAAACGCACCTGTTCGAGTTAAAAGATTACAACGGGTTACTTGTAGTCATGTTACACGACACCTGAACATTGCTGTTGCCTTTACAATGTACACCAAACGGTGGCGGTGAGTCAGCCATTTTCATTATTCTTAACAGTTATTTCAGAATTGTGTTTGCACAAAACATCATGGACAAACAACAATCATGTCACGATCATGCCCCGAAGAATACAGGGAGGTGAAAGATAAAGCGAACAATCCACGCCGTGTGCAGGTTTTGTCGAGATCTTGGAGAACATATTCCTCACCTATGCAGGTCTGAGTTTGAAAAGAAACACAATAACTGTCGTCTTGAAATATCACATAAACAGAAAGAAAGGTCAGAAAAGGAAACCTGTTCCCACATATTAGTATATCAATGATAACATTAACAGATGGCACCTACCACCACCATTCCTTGTGCAGAGGAAGGGGAACCTGATGAACGTGCCCGATCCGATACCATATCCGAGCACAGTGACGATATAGTCCAGCTTATGACGCCAATGCTCATGCATTTCGTTGTAGACACTATCTGTAACACGTTTACGGAACAGAAATGTGTTTAATTTTTCCACATGATTCTATTCAACTTTGTTGTAGTTAAGTTCTGTTACAGTCTTATGAAATAGAAGGAAAACGAAATTAATTAAAGGTTTTGCATATGTGCACAAAAATTTATTGTTATGAAAAAGTGTATATACATAGAGCTTGTTATGAATTGCACCTGCAATTTTGTTCAAGTTCATCGATGTGCTTGTAAACCGGAGTCAAATTATCCTCAACATTTTCTGCTTTCTTGTACGTGACTGACAGTGTGTTTTAGTGGCTGAATTTCGATGTTAATAGTCTATTGCAAATACTTCCTACTTACTCGAAAACTTGTTTAACAACTTGCTCACAGTGTGCACTTAACTTGTGTTTTCACAAGAATAATCAAAATCAAAACATATTGTATCCTTAAACTGCTGCTCAAAAGTGTGTTGAGTTATGGGCAGTGATTGGTCCGTTCTGATTTGCTGAAGAAATGACTTTTCCACAATGATTTGAAAGTGCTTAATTCATTTTTATCAGACTTCTGGTGGTAAGTTATTCCACAGATGTGGCCCGGATATCTGAAGGACCCAAATGGTTTTGTACAGGATTTGGATGTTTGAAGACGACTCTGATCCCCTGATCGGTCGTAAAGGTTCGTAGGCTTGCACACGACCAGCAGGATAAATTGTGCCAGCAGAAAGAACATAGACCAGGATACAATTTTCTTGGGTAGCCACTGTTATGCCTTCAACACGGGGTTATGTAATGGTGCCTGGTTGTCTTGTGATAATTCGGGCTACAGAATTTGGCACCTTTTAAAGTTTAGTGATACGATGATCGGGAAGCCAGTAGAGAAGAGGCATGCAGAAGTCCAGAACAGAATTAACAACGGATCACAGCTTTGTACTAAGGTTGTAACTGAGTTCCTATCTAGACACTTGCGCATTTAGATGCATAGATGCCATTATGCACTCCGACAGATTGAGCTGTGCTTCCAGATCTGAAGCAGAGTACAAAATCATACCAACATTTCTTGCCTTTGGAATTGGCTGAATCCCACGCTCCCATTTTGTGAAAAATGGAAAGATCAGTTTGAATCCATCTTCTTTGATGATGAAATCAGCAGCCCAGTTTTGTCACTCATCCACATTCGTATAGATGTGACAAAGGCTGTGACAGTGTGAAATATATTTTGAACAGACATCTTGTTGAGGGGTATAAAATGGATATATTTGACTGACAAGATTACAATTACTTTGCTTTGAATCACACCACGTCTGTCTTTTGTAATTTTAAAATGATCCAAATTATCAGCTGTTGCATGCTGGTGTAAATATCCTTCCTTCACTTTAGTATCCGTTTACATTCATCATTATGGTTTACGAAAAAAAGCCTTTGCATAGGAAAGGGATTCTTTCGACTATTTCACTCAGCCCATCTGAAAACAGCTGATTGGAATCTTCAATATTTTTCAGGGTTCAATGTTCCTGCCCACAATATTTCATACCACAGTTGGTCTTAGCAACCCACGCTTGCTATAAGAGGCGACCAGCGAGATAGGTTGGTCAGACTCGCTGACTTGGTTGACACATGCCAACTGTGTAGATCGATGCCCATCAACTTGATCACTGAATTGTCTGGTCCAGACTCGATTATTTACTGACATATTGGTGGAATATTGTCGAGTGTGACGTTAAACAACAACCAAACAAGCGAATGCCATTATAGTGATTTCAAAGTCCTCTGCAGTTCCGCTGGATAAGGTTAACCGAGGCATGATGAGTCCTCTCATGAGGTAGTGAGAAGTCTTTCGTCCTGTCTTCTGGAGAGGTCTAGAGGCCCATTCCAATTTTGAAAACGCAGTTCAAGAGGCGCGGTCTCTTGGTCTCTTTTCATTTTGTCCCTTCTTGTCTGTTTCAGACAGATGAAGACCTGTTATTTTCGTATTTGCTCCAGGCGCCCAATTAAGTACGATCCTTCTGTGTTTGTCCGTTTGTTAATACCACAGGCTTGACCTGTTAGAACCTTCTCTATCTCATTGTAAAATCACTATTTATAATTTGTATATACGCCTTTTACATATGTAACATAATGACAACTTGGTACCAGTAAGGGCGATGCCGTATTAGCCTTTCAAAATATACTGAATTATTCTGTTGAAAGATGAGGATCCTTCATTTTGTATACTTGCGATGAAAGATTTGCACTCAAGCATGTCCTGTGTTGCTTTTTCAATCATAAGCGATAGCTATTTCAAAGATTCATTCATAAGGTATCTTGTTATAAGCATTTATGTTCTCATTTATTTTAAACGAAATTGAACTTACTGATAATTTTGATGTATATAGTTGCGTCTCACAAACCGGTAGTGTATAATAATTACTGAGGTTGTTTGTGCCTGCGCTGTCGACGAGGGTCGAAGGACTGTCAAATGTTTGTCCCCGTGAGAAGGTATCTGGAGACCATTCTTTCAAAGTATCTATTTCTAAAATAGTTTACATAGCAGTATAGATGTATATTTCAATTGATAGAAATAACTGCCTACAGCTGAAGGGATGGTGGAAATTCAAGCAGGTATCAGAAGTATCGTAAGTTCACATGGTCTTTCTATTGTGGCCAGTCTTCGGTTTTAATGATAGTTTATTCTTTTAAACCCTCAAGTCCAATTTTATCTAAACTCTGTGATAGCCGAGGTATTGTACATTCGTTATTATTGTTTAAAGTTATCAGCCAGACAAGTATATTTGAAGATACCCTTGTTTGTTTCCAAACAACTTTTCAAAGCTTGATGACGACTACTTTATGGTTTATTTATCCTCCATGGGCAGGAGAGTTGGGAAACAAAAGAAATAACGAAATAGTACATTACATACTGTGAATAATGAATATATAGTAAGATTGCAACACCGATGTGATTTACAACTTGGCAGGATTTCAGATCAATGTCATTTGTACTTGTTTCATCCCAAGGCGTTTTAAATCTCTAACTGTGATATTTTAGTTCTTTTACTATCCTTCGAAGACAGATTTTAAGATATAACACCATGAATTATTTAAATATGACCCTTTTAAGTCACGATATGGCTAAAATATTGCAAAATTTTCACTCACTTACTCATGTCAAGGCATTTGGACAACGCTGTGGGATAGCAGCTGGTGCGGTAGAAGTGTCCACACATTGAATGAAGAAATGTCACGGACACTTCAACAAAGGACTCCTCTCTCTGCAGTTTAGTTTGTAGTTTGGTCTACAGGACAGCAAGCACAACACAAGGTCCTCCTCTGCCAGATTGTGCAGATAAACGCTGAAGTCTATGGGTCCGGTGTTTGATAGGGTGCGGCACATATACTCTAGGGGGGTACAAATACATAAATCACTAATTGCCATCGCTATAAATGAAGCCCGGTCATTAAAACTACTCATTTCGATCTTTAATTAACTTAAATCGACCTTTTCGACAACAATGCACACTTCTCACCCGCGAACAAAATTTCAACCAATCAGAGCGGCGCGTCTCTGTGACGTCATATGAGGAATAGATATGAGGGCCGATGCAGAATTCATGTACATATCTGGGGGTAAATTATCTTGTTTACAGGTTTGTATAAACCTGAAATCGTGACAACTGTTGTGAAAAATGAAAGCTATATGTTCTCACAATCTACTGTCATTTAATTTGGACTCCTGCTTTGTCTAGTTTCCGAGTTACAACTTGTTTTCATAGACGCTTCTGTCAAAATCGCTTGGTGTCGCTAGGCCTTATTTGTATAATGACTGATCCAAATTGATCCCATTTCTGTGTTTTCTACCTCGACATTTAATCATGTCATGTAAACATATGACGTCTATTACGTATGATATTAAAAATTGAAATTTGATTTTTTTAATCCGTAGACTGAACAACCCTACTTTGCCATTGCTAGAATAATCTAAAAATGTACTTAGGTAAATAGGTACATACAGTTTTAGCACACAGCAAATGATTATATGTATTTCTTATGAAGTTCTGTTTGTATTCTCAAAACAGTGTCGGCCCATAAGTTTTCACATGCAATTACAATTGCATGCAATACAGCAATTAATACTCCCTCGTTGTAACCCGTGTTAGGTGGTATAAACGTACACATGTTATTTGTCATCATTCACTTGGTGGTCAGTTAATGAATTTATAACAGGTATAATCAGTGGTAACACCACTTAGATTACCCGACAAAGGTTCCCATTTGGCATTTCTTGTGTCTGGAGTAAATACTCAAAATTATAAACATCGATCAAAGGATTAACCGATAACACGCTGATTGATTAATTACTTTTATCTTACACAGCGGATTTGTCAAAAGGTAGTGTTTATGTATGTAGATTTACTAATCTATACTGAATACACTCTGCCGTGTCTGTGTCTGCGTAAAAACAACGTTCTTCTTTCAAAGGATTAACCGCCA